CTGCGGCACCTCGGGCAGGGCTAGGATGTGCTCTGCAGCTGGTTCTTCTTCTCATGGTCCGGGGATTCTCTGCTTCCAAGACGACTTTTATACCCTGAGAAAGGGCTTTGAGGAAGCTGTGGTTTCCGTAGGCCATGTCCCCAAGGAAACAAAGGGTGACAATTTAAGTCACACTCTCTAGTAAGATAGAGACTAAGGATACATCCCACCCGAATCCTGTAGCAGAGCACTCCGTCCAAAACAGACACGGGTGTAGAGGCCACCGTTTACCATGCATCACACACAGGATCAGGGCAGGCCATATTAAGTAATTGACTACATCTCACCTTCACAGAGACTGAGGCTGACAACTCAACTTAATAAATACAAGTTAGCCCCGCCACCCCTTCCTTAAACAGACTGCCAATCTCTACAGGAGCAGATAGCCTCCATGTCTTCCCACAGAGCAGCCGGGGGTTTGAACCTGCAACCTTTCAGTTCGTGGTCCTACACTTACCCGGTCACATCACCAGGGCTCTTTAAAGAAACTCAACCAACAAAAGCACCAGTAAAGAAATTAATAGAACTAATGATGAGAAGAAAAAGAAGAGGAGGGAGACGCAGCAGTGAAATCCGACGCTGTCAGCTCAGGTCCGTGGGAGCGGTTCCAACCACCCAACCACAAACCTGAAGAGGCCACTTCAAACGGTCCAGCAGGGCTCTCAGGACTGGGCAGGTCATGTTCTGTCCCATCAAATGTCTTCTAAGGTGCCCAACATCCTATGTTCAATGGCTTTTGTGGAAACGTTTGGAATGCATTTAATTTTGCATTTGAAATAACGACCCCGCTTCACAGCATTTGGTGGCTTCCCGCTGCTCGGACTTGCAGCATTTTCGTCAGGTCCCAAGTCTCCCTGAGCCACTTCTCTCTGGTCCCTGTGCCAAGGCCGCCCTGACCCTTGAGGCTCACTGCCAGCTTCTCTGGGCGGGAGATGCCCGAGAGACATGTTAGGCAGTTACTCCTCTGTGGGGGTCAGAGGAAGAAAGGCCTCCCTGGTTGGTTGCACTTCTGCTGCTGTTGTTCTTGCGTCTTCCGAGAGCCCCCAGATCATGAGGAGATCGGGTTTCCCTTTTCACAGGGCCTACTGGGAAGCTTAGCCGCCCTGTGGGCTCCCATCCCCCGCTGGCTGAGTCCAAGTCGTACATCTCCTGCCAGGACATCCTTGCCTCGTTCCTCCCCTCATTCATTTTGAACGCATCTCATCTTGCTCAATTAAATGTAGGTAAGTTTCCTGAGAAAGGAGCCCTGGTGGTGTCGTGGTTACAGATGGGCTGCGAGCTGCAAGTTCTGAAGTTCAAAACCACCAGCCACTCCTTGGGAGACAGACAGGGCTTTCTACTCCTGTCAAGAGTCACAGGCTCAGAAACGCACAGGGGCCGTCCTGCCCCGTCCTGCCCCGTCGTCGTCGCTATGCATGGGAGTTCACTCCACCGCAGGGAGTTTGGTTTTGTCGAGGTGCTTCCTGAAATCTCGCCTGATTCAGGCAGAACGGAATGAACCCACACGTGCAAAGGCATCCGTTTTCACAATGGGTCCTTCTTCCTGTCGTTCCTTCTGCGGGTGGCCTGTGAGGGTCTTCCCATTCACAGCAGTTTCCAGGACTCTTGCTGACGCACTGGGGAAAGCACTAGGCTACTCATCTAAAGGCCAGTGGTTCAAGCCCACCAAGAGCCCCGTTGGAGAAGGATGAGGCTTCAGTAGAGACAACCGACTCAGAGACCCCAGGAAGGGCGGAAGTCCGGCTCTGTCCCCCCGGGGTCGTTAACGGCCGGAACCTACTTGGCAACAGTGGGGTTTGGGGGTTTAAAGGTCATTCTGGTTATTCAGGTTACGTGCGTTCCGGTGCGGAAGGTTTGGGATGGACCACTGGCCCTAAAGCAGACAATTATCCTTGATTTTGGTGCTCCAGTGTGAAGCACAAATAAGAAACAAGAAAGCTACTTTGGGGGACCATAGGTGAAGGGAGGCATGGGCAATGTTTCCTGTGGGGGTGGACGCTGGGGACTGAAGAGTTTCCTGAAAAGACATGTGCTATAAATCCTAACTCCTATCGTTACAGTGGCACCGGCGGCTACACAATGGGCTGCTAACTGCAAGGTCAGCAGTTTGAAGTCACCAGCCGCTCCAAGGGAGAAAGAACAGGGTCTCTCTTCCTGTGAAGATCGAGGGTCTCATCAGCTCACTCTGTCCTAGAGAGTCACTGAGAGTCTTATTCTTTGTAGAGACCTCTCCATGACCTAAATATCCTATTGTGCTATCACTATTGACCTGTCCTCCCCCTCCCTGGCCTGAACCCCCTAAACAGGGACTGCTGCACAACCCCCCGGGACTCATGTGTTGGGGTGATGAGAAAAGTGAGGGCCATACAGTTCCTCTGTACGGACAGCCTGAGGGTACTTCCTACAGCACCCAGAGCCCAAACCACAGCGACCAGGCCACCATTAGCCACTGGCCAGTTACAACACACTCCCCTTCCCTGGGCACGCCTGAGGTTCCAGGGTCCTCCCTGCAGCTTGGAACGGGCACGTGTCATCTCTCACACACTCGACGTCACTGAGCCAAATGGCCTCGTCAAATTTACAGGTCAACATACGTGGGACACACTGACTCAGAGCAACCGTGCAGGACAGAGTAGAGCTGCCCCTGTGGGTTTCCGAGGCTGTGGATCTCGGTGGGTGCAGCAGCCTCCTCTTTCTCCTGCAGAGTGGCTGGTGGGTTCAAACCGCCAACCTTGACATTAGCAGCCCGGTGCTTAACCAGCTGCACCACCAGGGTGCCTTTCTTCCAGAACCCAATGTTGGGCAATGGCAGCCCAACAACAAGCAAGCCACAACATGCAGTTGGCAGGCTTTTCCAGGGAAAGGAACAGTGCCGTCGAGGTCAAGGAATGGATGGGGTTTGTGAGTCAGAAGCACAGAATCTTCCACCTGCAGGGCCGCCATGAAAGGTTTGGTGGGGGTGGGGGAGGGGGGCACATGCACAGGAAGGGCCAGCCAAGTGAATGCCAAGGAAAAGCGTCTGTAAAGTCATTGTCCCACAGGTGTTTTGAAGCCCAGATATAGACATAAATGCAGATATAAATATATAACAAAAACCCATTGCCAGCAACTAGATGCTGACCCATAAGGACCCTATAGGACGGGGTAGAACTTCCCCTGTGAGTTTCTGAGACTGCAATTCCTAATGGGAATTCCTAAAACCCCATCTCTCTCCCACAGAACCGCTGGTGGTTTAGAACTGCTGACCTGGTGGTTAGCAGCCCAGCACATAACTGCTCCACCAGCAGGGCTCCCCAGTATGATAGAGAGAGACAGAGTATGTATCAAACAAACAAACAAACACAACTCACTGCCATCGAGTAAGGGCTGACCCACAGCAACTCCCTGTGGGTTTCCAAGACTGCAACTGCTTACAGAGGTAGAAAGCCCGGTCTTTCTCCCAGAATATAGAGAGAGATGCTACACACACACACACACACACACACACACACACACACACACACGAACCCCGGTGCAAGCATCGATTTGCTATCCTAGAGATCAGGGGTTTGGATCCTCCTGAATCCGCCTGCTTCCATAAAGACCCTACACAGGATCCCAGTGAGTTGCAGCCAACTCAATGGCAGTGGGTTTGACATCAGAAAGGCGCCTTGGTGGTGCAACTGGTGCAGTGCCAGGCTGCTTATGGCAAGGTTGGTGGTTTGAACCCACCAGCCGCTCTGCAGGAGAAAGAGGAGGCTGCCGCGCTCACCGAGATCCACAGCCTCGGAAACCCACAGGGGCAGCTCTGCTCTGTCCTGCACGGTTGCTCTGAGTCAGTGTGCCCCACGTATGCTGACCTGTAAAGTTGACGGCGCTGTGTGTGATCTGTGTGGGGGTCAGAGGAGGACTGTGCCCCCACAGGGTGCTCAATCTTTGGGGAAGAGGCTTGCCAGGCCTTTCTTCTGAACACCTCTAGGTGGACTCCAACCTCCAGCCTTTGGGGTCCGTGGTGAGTGTGCTGACCGCTTGCCCCATGGGGGACTGGTGGGACTGGTGGGAAGGCAGCGCCTGCTGTGGTCACAGGTTTTCTGGCTGCCTGGTCTTCCTGCTGGCCTGTGCGACTCCTGGGCAGGGCCATATCTCTCCCACATCTGGGTCCAGGCTGCCCAGCATGCTGCCGCCTACTCTTGAGCAGTCAGGGTGTGTTTCAGGAGAAAGGCAGTCATGACTCGGAAGCTTTCCAAAGCCTCCTTAGCTTCCCACCTTTGATCTCGCCCTTCCCCCAGCCAGACCCCCCCATTCAGGACCCCCAGGCAGTCAGCAGTCGGCACTCATGGGACTTGTGAGCCTTACCTGGCCTCTGGCCTTGGCCACCTGCACCTTCTCACTACAAGTCTCCCACTCCCCCAGCCTCCAGGGTTCAGCTCAACCCCCCTCTTCCCACCAGGCAACCTGCAGAGGCTGCCGCTCTCTGCTCAGCCCCAACTAAGCTGACCAGATGTCCCGCTTTTTAACAATTTTCACGCATCCTGCGGTGTTTTAAGAAAGTCTCGATTTTTGGAAAGAATGCACGACAAGCTAGGGTATGCGGTTTTCGGCTGCCATGCGGCTATTTCGCCAGGATATGAGTTTTATCCATGGTGTCCCGCTTTTGTCCCGCTTTACCAATGTTAAAATCTGGTCACCTTACCCAAAGCCCCAAAGTCCTCCCTCCCAGACCCTTCCTGAGACGTTGCCCTGTATCTGGTCAGCTCGCAGAGAGGGGGCCACCTGCAGGAGCCCACAAGGCGGGGTCCCCTCTCCCCCACCCCTCCTCTTCTGCCCTCCAGCTCAAAGGAAGAACTAAGATCAGTCCTCCCCGCCTCCTGGCCCAGCCAACAGAGCCCAGGTTTCCTCCTAGACAGGTGAGAGCAAGGTGTGACAGCCAGGTTGCTTTTGCTCCACCCCCTCTCGGTTTCCCCCAGGCACAGAGCGGTGACACTCACCTGAGCCCAGAGACAGCTCTGTTCCAGCTGCTGCCGGGGCACGGGGCACGGGCGTCCACAGGACAGACGGCACTCGCTCACCTCTCGGAGATGGCGTGGACAGCCCTCTCCCTCTTGCTCTCCCTCTCCCACAGGACCCGGGCCACTCTGACCCTCAGCCTCGTCTTCCTCTCCTCCTGCTCAGCTGGCTTGGCAGGTAGGGTTGTGGGCTTTCTTCCCAAGCCGGCTGAGAAAGGGGAGGGAGGGGTGGAGGGGCAGGTCTCCTCCCCCAGGGAAAGAGGAAACAGGATGGTGGGGTGGGTGGGTGGCCGCTCTCATTCACCCAAGACAGATCAGCCGTCCCTTCTGCGCGCTGGCCCCAAGGGGAGAGGGGCAAAGGGCAGCTTGGTCAGCAGCCTCCCCCAGCTCCTGCTCTCTGCCCCCAGCCCATCCCTCCTCCCATGCTCCTTGCTGTCCCATCCCCCAAGCCCACCAGCTGCCTCTGCCCTTCACCCCCTTGAGCCTCAGCCCACACGTTGCCAGAGCACTGGTGCCGACATTGCCCTTGGAGCGCACGGGGTCTCATCCTGGCCCCTGCTTTCTCCTTCTGGGAGTTGGGGGTTCTGCAGGCTGTGGGCATCGTCCTCAACTAGACAGGCCCCCCGCCGCAGCCCACCCCCAGACCTGTGCATAGCAGGGGCTGCGCTCAGCAGGGGCTCTCTAGACCTCCCTCCCCCACCCTCACTTGGACCTGCCCCTCTGTCCTTAAAGTTTCTCCCAGAGCCACAGCCGGGGGCAGGCTCACACGGCCAATCAGCGTGGGGCTCTGGACCCTCAACTCAGTGCCGGCTGCATGGCTTCCAAGCTGTGTGACCCTGGGTAAATCGCTTGACCTCTCTGTGCCCCAGTGTCCCCCGTCTGGCTGCTGTGCACTATCTATTATGAATCACATGCGCTCTATAAAAAACCAAGAAACTCGCCGTTGTCAAATCGATGCCGCCGACTCACAGCAGCCCTGTAGGACAGGGTAGGACTGCCCCAGCCTGTAACTCTTTAAGGGGCTGGAGAAGCCCCACTGTCTCCCTTGGAGCAGCTGGTGGTTCCAAACAGCAGACCTTGCCCTCAGCAACCACTCTGCCACCAGGGCTCCTTCAGTGACCCCGCAGGACAGGGGGGTACTGCCCCACAGGTTTCCGAGCCTGCAAACCCTTGCAGATGCAGACGGCCTCATCTCTCTTCCGGGGGGCAGCTGGTGGGTTGGAACCTCTGCCCTTTCGGTTAGCAGCCGAGGGCTCACGTGGGGTGCCGCCAGCGCGCCTTTCCTTATTGACAGAGCAGCGTCATAAAACTGGGGCTGCTGGGGTGGCAGAAGGAGGCACCAGCCCATGGCCCCAGAGCACCACAACAGGTGTTTCTCCCGGGCTTTCTGAATGTTGTTGGGGGTCTTTTCCTTCGCATGCACTATTTGTCACTTTGTCTGTATAGGATGTCTTTATCCTTGCCACCTTCGTGTAGTGTTGTCGTCTAGTTTTCTGTTGGGTCTCCCAGCTGTGAAGCACAGGGGGAGTGGATAAATAATGAGAATAACGGATACAGGGGAGACAGGGATATCGGGGGTGGGGGGTGGATGATGGGGAAGGAAAGAAGATTTGGGGAGGAAAGAATGGAGACGGGAGGGGGAGGGAGCACTAGAACGGATTGTGATTGCATAACTCATTTTAAAGATGATTTAATCATGGGAAGTGGGGGGGATGCTCTAAAACTGATGTGGGGGTGAGTGATATGATCGAATGATTGCACTATTGAATTATGGGACATGTCGATTGCATGCCAATATAACTGTTGGGGAAATAAAGCAACCAAACCCTAAAGCACCCCACGGTAAACACAGGAGGCTAACAGGTGAGGTTCAAACCCTGTTTTCTTGCCAATGGCCCTGCCCCACCCCCGTGCCTGGTGTGAGAGTTTGGATCCCTCTGTTTATCTCCTGCCCCACCCTCTGAGAGCCTTGCTTGTGGTCTCACTGCCACCGAGGCCACTGTGCCCCACAGCGACCTCACAGGACAGAGCAGGACTGCCCCCTGTGGATTTCTGAGGCGGCAAATCTTTACAGAAGCAGACAGCCTCATCTTCCTCCCCTGAAGCAGCTGGGGGGTTCGAACCGCCGACTTTGCAGTTAGCAGCCCAATGCCCACCCACAGGGTGGGCTCCCTTTTTGTTCAGAAACTCCAGAGCTTTAACGGCACAGAAATGCTGGGTCTTCACAGCAGTCTCTGCTTCGGAAGGGATCCCACCCAGCTGAGCCCCGGCTAGCTCTGCTGATGCTGGAAGAGGCTTTGTCAGGTGCTGGACCCACGGCATCCCTGTGCACACACACAAGATGCTACCCAGTCCTGTGCTGCCCCCACAGTCAGGTTTGGATTGGACCATTGGCATTCAGCGCGTGTCATTGGCTGGTGTCCTGAAATAAATGGGCAGGCAGGCCTTTCTTCCTGGTCTGACTCAGTCTAGACATTCCATGCCGCAGCCACTGATAGGCAGGTGTTGGCTGGGCCTCAGCTGCCCCGGCCAAGAGCCGAGCTGATGCTGGGAGTCTCAGGGATTTGCAGCCGGACTTTTCCGTTTGAACCACATAAACTGGATGGCGCTGGATGGCGTCCGACCTCTGAAGACGGGCTCCTCACGCGGTTGAAGCCGGTGCTGTTATCAACTCCTAACAGAAGCCCTGGTGGCACAGCACCTACACGTTACGCTGACTTTCTACTCCCGTAAAGAGTCACAGTCTCAGAAATCCAGGGGGACAGTTCTACCCTGTCCTAGAGGGTGGCAATGAGTTTGGGTCTTTCCTGGCCATGACCCCTGTGAGACAGAGCCAACCCACCCCAATGTCTTCTTGGCAGGGATTAGCAAGAACCCCAGTTCTTTCTGCCGCATGCAGACACCGCCCCCCCACCCCAGGGTAAATTGTCAACCTTTAGGTTTGCGGTAGAGTGCTTAACCTCCGCGCCACCAGACTCCTCTACACCCATGCCAGCTAGTATCCATTGAACCAGGTGCTTTTCAACTTGCTGGCTCCCGGGAGCAGTCATTGCCCGGAGGTGAAGCCTCCCACCATGGCCAAGGAAGTTATTTGAGCTAGAAGGAAAATGCAAATGTGGAAAAGTTGATGTCCGCAAAGCAAATAAATAGCTTTGCTGGGCCCCGTCTGGCTGTCAATAATTCACAGTAACAGGCTGATTGCATCAGGGTGACCGCAGGACTTTGGAGTGGTGGGAGGGGGGGGTGGCTTGCCGTGAAACTGGTCTGAACAGCCAGGGCGTGGCTTTGGCCCAGGGAGATGGAGATGCTGGTCCCGTCCAGCTCTGTGGCGAGTGCCTGTGAAGGACGCCCTGACCTTCAGCACGGTCTTGAGCACTCCCACATCATGCCACTAGCTTGGCCTAGTCATCTTGGGCTGTGTCCTGGGTCCCCAGGGAAGCAGGGGTCCAGAAAGTCCTTTGTTGTTGTCAATCATTCTATTGGGAGCTCTCACCGATATTAGAACAATCCATAATTCAATTAGATCAATCAAGCATAATTGTACAATTGCTGCCACGATCCGTTTCAAATCATTTTCTTTCTTCTTGAACTCTGATGTCAGCTCCCCTTTCTCCCCTCCCTACCCCCCAGGAACCCTTATTATATTATATATTATTATCACTACTGTTATTATTTTTTCCGGCTGTATCTCACACCATCCAATGTATCCGTTCACCTACAATTCTGTTGTTTGCTCCCCTGAGTGGGGTTATACAGTCATCATTGTGATCATCTTCCCCTTCCCCTGCGCTACTCCCCCACCTTCTCCACGTACCCTCAGGTACTCCCTTTACTGTTTCTGAAGAGTTATCTATCTTGGCTTTCATGCATCGAATGAACTTAATTAGACAAATGAACATATGCAGGTCTAACAAGATTAATTAGGTAAAAGAAAGACCATGATAGTAAGGGGAGGAAATGTTAAACAACTAGAGGATAATAATGTGTCTCATCAGTGTTATACCACACTCTGGATATGCCGTCCTTCCATGGGGCCCTTCTGTGAGAGACTATCTAGTTATCTTACAGGTGGGTCTCTACTTAGTCTACGCTCCTTCACATCAATTTGATTGTTTGTTTTTGAACTTCTGATACCTATTCCCATTGACGCCTTGTGATCACACATGCGGTGTGCTTCTTCCTGCTAGATGGTCGCTTGTTTAACTTCAAGCCTTTAAGACCCCAGATGCTATATCTTTTAATAGCCAGGCACCATCAGCTTTCTTCACATTTGCTTATGTACCCATTTGTGTTCAGCGGTTGTGTTGGGAAGGTGAGTATCACACACTGCCACATTGTTAGAACAAACCGTTCTTGTACTGAAATAAGATTTAAGTAGAGGCCCAAAGTCCATCTGTTTCCTTGATGTATTTACATATATACATATGCATACAAATACCCATATCTTTATGTAGTATGTATTTACATATATACATACCTATATATATATAATTTTCCATTTCTTTTTCTTTCCTCTTCTCCTTTTTTACTTTCCTTCTGCCCCACTATCATGTTTACCCACCGATCACCTCTCATAATTTCTCTTGGATACATTTCAATTGATCAAACAAGATCAGGAACGCTACACCCGCCTCACTGTAAATATTAGAACCCTTGCTATTCCCCAGCCCCTGTCGTTACTGGCTCACCGGTCCCCTCCCCCTGCCTTCTGCCCTCCCATCTCCCCAAATCCCACCTCGTAAGTCCCATCGCTGTCTCCTTAGGATTGTTTGTCCTCCTATCTTGTACAGATAGACACCAAAAACAAAAACAAAAGGAAGGGGGGAAAAAAACGACCATACAAATAGTTCCGAGCCTAACTGGTATCCTGACCCAGAGCAGATGAGTATCTCTCTATTAAGTAGCGAGCAGGACCTATTATAATCCATCAGTCCAATCCCCTCTTCTTTCAGGGATCCATAACCCAGGACCCACTGACCTAACAGCCAGCACTTTTAGTCCTCAGCATGCGTGACCAAGTGACACACCTTCTACAAGACCCCTTTGCTCTTACTGCCATCAGGGATGGAGCGGACTATTACCACCCCAACCCCACTGCACCTCTAGACTTTCAGTGTGGCCCCCTTGTGAGTAACCCCAACCAGTTCAGATGAGGTACCAGGCACTGCCCTCTGGTCAGAAGTCTACAATCGGATTCCTCAGGGACTTTGCTCCCATTGCTAGTCTGTTGCACTCCCCTCTTGGTTTGCC